GATGGAGGACGATGTGTGTGTGCACGCTCGCAGGGGTCTACTACCCTCCACCCCCACCCTACCCGGGGCCCATGCCCATCCCCCCCAGCGCCCCCCACTTCTCTGAAGATGCCGGTGAGTGACGCATGGAGTGTCGAAGGCGGGGGGCTGGTGAGATGTTAAATGTTAACTCCCTCGCCGAGTATGCAGAAGGTCTTGAGTTCGATTCCCACCATGACGATGCCTGTATATTTGGAGTTTGCCTGCTCTGTCTCCCCGTGGTTGTGTGGATTTTTCTTCGGGTCCTCTGCTTTTTCCCTCCACATTTAGAAATGTGCCTTTAGAGTATTTGGCTGCTATGCATTTTCATGTTGTTAGCCACTTCGTTGCACTATTATTTGTGGCCAGGTCACTTCTGAAAAATACCTATATAATTCAGTGGGCCTTACCTGGTAAATAAAAACATAGTTCAGTTATTGTGTATGGCTCGCGATTGCTTGAATGCTGCTGCCTCTTCTGGAAACTGCCACAATAAATAACAGGTGAAATAAAGATGCAGAATGTAATGTGTCACTCACAGGATCCAAGTATCTTAAGAAGCCTATTAGGTATATTAATTTACAGTTAAAATTGTGGTAAGTTATTGCACTTGGGTTGTCCCTCCTGTGGATACGGAGACCTTCTGAAGTGACTGCTGGCTGGAAAAAGTTTCAGAATGTAAATGTCTGTCTCATCATATGACATCACTTGCACAATTGAACCTTACAGTAAAAATTGCCTCACATGGAGTTATTTTAAGCTGGTGGTCTGGATAAAGCTGAAGATATTTCATGCTTGCAAGACACATTTTTTCGTGCATTGAAATTTTAATTGAGGGGTAAAGAGCGTCAAGGTTGTAATTGCCTCCTTGTGTTAACAGCGTTACAATCGGTGCAGCTCTTTAATTTACCGAGATAAGCAGATGTCTATCAACAGCAGAAGTGTGATTGTTCCTCACACTTTTCTGGAGGAGAGGCTTGCACTGTGCGTGAATATTTCTGTTAAACGATGCTCGCTGCAAACGTGTCTCTACTAATCGGCGTGCTCCTTGCGTCACACCATTATGATAACCTTCCACCGCTGTGCGAGCCATTATCCTTTTAACCAGACAACACGTGTGCAGAGTGTGCATGCCATTGTTACGCCCCGTCCCCTCCGCCCCGTGCATTGACTAAACCCACTGCTTGTCATCCCAGCTTCTGGCAAGGCTGCAGAGGCGGCTTACTTCGACCCCGCAAATCCTCACGCGGTCTACATGCCCATGGTACGGGACGCACGCACACACACACACACTACCCTTCTCCTGCGAGCGCTCACCTCATGTAAACTCCTCCCGCTACCCCTTGGGCCATATTCTTAGTCAAGCTTGGCTCACTGCACTATGTACCCAACGACCTGACTTCGATTCCACGCCCCAGCTAAATTTAATAGAGGGATTCTGAACCATCCCTAGGCCTCCAGTCCCCTTCAAGAACATGGTGAGTTGTGGTTAAACAACCTCCATGTGCAACATGAAGTGGGGAGGCCTTCATCCTACAGGGAAATTGACTAAGGGTTGGAAACAATTTTTACATGCTGCAAGGCAATGTTCGTGATAAACGTGGTGAGTGCGTTCGTAATTGTACGTCACTCCCAGTGCAAAGTCTAAGTGTTTATATTTAGTATAGACCAGGGGTCAGCGACCTACGGCTCTGGAGCAAAATGCGGCTCTTTAAGGAATGCTTCGTGACGTTATTTATTAAGGAACACTGTCTCGTATTCACACGCATTGCGGCTCTTGAATTATTGAGTCTTTTTACCAAATTCGAAAAAAATTGCTTATTTTGGTTGCTGTTCCTTGGTCTAGATGAACTCAGCCTATGTAAGCTAATAGTGCACTGTTTTGTGTCTCTGATACCAGGATCAGCCTCCTCCATATACTCCACCAGAAGATAAGAAGAAGCAGTAACAACCCAAGAGTGGACTTGGATCTTTCTCTGAAGTCTTGACTCAGTTTCCTAACGTTCTCTGAGCAATGTGGTTCTGTCAGTATGAGATATTACTTTCAGATGTCTTCAATGTGGTAGCATCTGCATTATTGTAAGTTCAATTTTCAAAGTTAGATGATAGGCATTAAAGAAAAGAAACGGCTTTGTATGACAGCAATCTGCACTTTGGATAATTGTGATCCCTGTTTGATGTACAGAAAGTAAGATAACGAAATCGGATTAGCATGTATGCATTTACTTAACCTTTTCCTTGCATCTCTTCAATACTGGCTTATATAATTTATGTAAATGAGTAGATATTGTAATGGTTGCTAAATTCTATGCCACCTATATTCAAAACACTGGCACGACTACCGTTGGTGTTAGAAGCGTGTAATGCCTGTGATACATTCCCTCGTGTCCCCGTTAACACGCGTGTGCGGGTGTGCATATCATGCCTATGGAAAAGCGTATTACACGTACGCCTATCGTCATCGGTTTGGCCTTCCAGTAGCTAAGGTAATTTTAACCAGAAATCTGTGGCTGATCTCTGTATTTGATGGCTAACTGTAATGTAAACAATATAAAATAAAAAGATGTATAGGTCATACATCACAATTGGTCGCGTTTATTTAATGAGAAGAAGTCCTGTGCTGGACTCGGAACGAGATGAGTGCTCGGGAGGGAAAAAAAAGCCCCCTAGCAAGGAAGACCTTGCGGAAAAATGTGGCCCAATTTAACACGCAGGCTTTCGTGACCAATATCCATAAGAGGTTTTTTTGAGTTAGATCGCGTAAATGTATAAGTGTCGTTAAAACCCGCCACCACCCAACACAGCCAATTCGCAAGGTTTGTCACGTAAACAGAACATGCCAATTCGTCACTAGTACAGTACACCGGTGTATTGGAGAGCCAAGCCACAAAAACATTTACAATCCGAGTACGATGTTTTGCCAGTAATTACAACTAGCTTCATCAGGCGATAGCCAGATTTTTAGAGGTTGAACTGTTTCATTCCTTTTTTAGAGGCGTAGATGTGGTGACCACTCTTCTGCGCTCTTGTGCAAATTAGGGGGGGGGGGGGGGATTACTGATTCAACGTACATTATGCATGTGCATTATGCGAGTCCTTTGAGTTTGTCCTTCCTGTCTGTTGTTTGTATTAAAATAGCCGTACCAACAGCAATCCCTATAGAAATACTCTTTGGTTCTTTCGGTAAAGTCACGCAGGTAGAAATAAAACTAAATAAATCACGACGTTTCGATAGCAACACAAGCCATCGTCTTTAGGTGAAAATCGCGATAGCCGCGATGTCTGCTGCGAGCAACACGATGTCTGCTGCCTTGAACCCTATAGAAGTTTGCTGCCTGTCGTTGTCATTGGGGTTGGAGCTGCCCGGTGCACACCGCATCTGCCTCAGGGTAACATGCCGTGTAGAGATCAGAATATTTATGCTGAAGGATGAGCTATAGAACTCTTTTTCACAGATGTTCAGTAGGGGTAGGTCAAAGCGTTATAACAATACCAAAATACGATGGGAGTGCAAAGTATAGGAAAAGTAAACTTCACTTAAAAAATATTAACAAATAAAACGAAACAATTCTTTTTTATCTTTCCGGATTAATATCTGCCGGGTCTATGAGTTTGTGCACTGATTCACTACGGCCAATCGCATCGTCAATCTACCACGGCGACTATCGGTTGTGACCACTCGGCTACTGTCAATTTATCTCACTACCACCTCTGACCATAATTGTTACTTCACTAAGTGTTGATCTGTCCTCCTCCCCGTGTGTGCTACCACGGCCAGCGTTCCCTCGCCCAGCGTCAAATGAGTGCAGCTGTCAGCAGATAGCACCGCGATGAGGTGCCATCTGCTCGCATTCCTGGAATAATTCGGATGCCTGCGTGCAAGGGCGAGGGATGATGGTTCAACGGCGTCCACGTCTTTACCGCAGAAAAAAAACCGCGTGATATGTAGGAGGGTGTCATTTGGATTGATGACCATGCGTAACAGATGCGATGCGTAGGGTGCCACGGTGGCGAGATGTTGACTACCTCGCCCGGTATGCAGGAGGTCGTGGGTTCGATCTCGACCCCGAAGTCAGATTTATAGTTGGAGTAATCCCTCGTTTAACGTCGATGCATTCCTGAAATGTGCAGCTTTATTCGAGGAATTATTTGCGGTGTCTCCTCGTGGTCGCGTGGATTTTACTGCGGTCCAGTTTTATCCCTCCACATTTAGAAACTTGAGTTTTTTAATATTTGGCCACTGCTACAAATTTTCACGCGATGATAAGCCCACTTCGTTGAGCTATCATTTGTGAAGGCCAGGTCGCTTCTAAATAAAGCTTCATAGCTCAGTGGGGCCTTACCTGGTAAAATTAAAAGTTTAGTTTATATCGGAGCTCGTGAGTTCAATCCCGAGCCCGACGCCTCCTGTATATTTGGAGTTTGCATTTTCTCTCCCAACGTGGTCGAGTGGATTTATCTCCGGGTCCTCCGGGTTTTCCTTCCACATTTAGAATCAACGTCCGTTTCGAGCATTTGGCTCCAATGACATTTCCACATGATGAGCCAATTCGTTGAGCTATCATGTGTGGCCAGGTCGCTTCTGAAAAAAAAAAGTTACATAGTTCATTGGGCCTATAAACTATTTGTTTAAATAGTTTATACACAGCTGTTTCCAGTTAAAGGCCCCTTCAGTGTGTCACGTAAAGCCAGGAACTCTAGGGGCCGCGGGGTTTGCCCTGCAGAGCGTAAACAAAGGCGCTGATTGGTGGGCTGCAGCAGACTCCGCCCACATTGTTTTCAGGTAGCCAATGAGAGCGTGGGTACTAGGCAGGGAGGGGGGACTTATATTTTAGATTTAAAGCTTTCGTGACTGCTAGGATCCATACTCTTTGGTTCTATTGGGTAAAGTCACGTAGGTGTTATTTTATTTTCACCTACGTGACTTTACCCAATAGAACCAAAGAGTAGGGACTTATATTCTTGGTTCTTTCGGTAAAGTCAGGTTGAAGGGAAACAATAAAATAATAAAATATATAAAACAAAATTCTCACGACGTTTCGACTACAACACAAGCAGTCATCATCGGATGCATGCGGGAGCCAATCACGCGCGGGGAGCTTAACCAATCGCCTTGACGGAACAGCAGGCGACGTTTTAGGCAATGACCCTTGTTCAGAGCACGTAAAATGTAGAAGCCGGAGAGAAGTGGATAATAACGCGTTGGAGACTTGAACTTTACTCCATGGGGCCTGGTGAGAATTAACATTAAAAAAAACATTCTGATGAGCAATGATGACATTGACATGTTATTTTTGTCCACTTAAGTCCACACTTTATATTCGTAATTATAATTAATGTATCGAGTTGTATTAATTCTCCTGGACTTGTGTCGGCACGTCACGCGCAGAAATGTGTTACGCCAGTGACGTCACTTGCACAAAATTACGTCGACGTTAGTGGTAGTGACGTCACGCGCACAAACGTGCGACGCCTCGGCGAAATGACGTCACGTGCAGAATACGTGCGACGTCGCTAGCAAGTGACGTCAGGGGCAGAAACGTTTAACCGTTGGTGGTGAGCGACGTCACGTGTAGAAACGCGTGACGTCGGTGGGCGTGACGTCACGGCCGCGGACAGTGCAACCCGAGAGCGGGCGGCCTCGGAGCTTCGCAGGGCCCCGCGAGCCGAGCGCCTCCACCCCGCGTCTCCGTCTTCGCGGTGAGAGCGCGTGGAGCGAGTGTGGAGGAGGAGTGGGGGGGGGGTCTCCTTCTCGTCCTTCTCGTCCTCTTCGTTGCCCCCCCCTCCTGCGGAGTCGCCGCCGCCGCCGTCCTCCCTCAGGGAGCGCGCGGGCCGGGCCCCCGTTAAGAGGCGGCGGCGGCGCCTTTGAAAACCGCACAGCGCATAGGCTCGCGCCGCTGCCCCTCGCCTCACCCCATTGGCTGGCTCGGTCGCGTGAACCCGCCGAACCCGAGTCGCGATTGGTCACGGCAACCTTTGCGCCCGCCGCGAGCCGCTCGTCTCGTCCAATCAGGCGGCGCGGCGCGCGAGGCGACGCCTATGCGCGCTGGGAAATGTATCGGGGTGGTGGTGGGTGTAGTGAAGCTGCCACCCCGGGAGATAGCGACCCGGCTCCGTCCCCGGGCTCCTCATCCTCCTCTAGGACCGCTCAGCCTCGTGGGGTTGTGAGCATCGACGGCGCGTGGCTGCAGCTGGTCAACGATACCGGACGTCTGTGACTAAGAGCTTCATAGCTCATCGGATTCCTCCAGGCTACATAAAGATTCTGATACGGCGCCTGGCCCTACAGTCTCTCTACAGTCCATATTGTCTCTGTAGGGCGACAGGGGCATCTGTGCGCTAGAAGGATGTGTGTGTAGCAATAACCCCCCGCCGTTTTGTGTGTTGGGCTGAAATGTCCTTTCGTTGTCTGCGGCCAAAGCACCCAATGTCGTCAGGCCTCGCAAGTATACGCAGAGGTGAAGCCTGCACGGTGTTTATATGGGTTATAGACCGCGGTGCTGTGTGGTGGAGAAGCAGAGGGGCGGTGTAGGAATATTTGTTTCTGTCTTTATTAAAAAGTGCTTAAGCATCTCTGTAAAAGTCTCGAAGGATGCTACATCTACAAGACGACTCATTCTTTTAGGTTGAGCCACGCCGTGATCTGACCAAAGGTTTGGCGGCACGGTGGCAAGATGTTAACTACCTCGCCTGGTATACAGGAGGTCGTGTGTTCGATCCCGGCCATGACGATACCTGTATGTTTGGAGTTTGCCTGTTCTCCCCGTGTTTTACCTCCAGATTTAGAAATGTAACGAGTTCAACCAGACGAAGGTTGCGATGACACAAGTCCTCTTTATTTTCCACACGAGCTCACGCTGCGTGCAACTACTCCACTCCAAATCCCACAATGAAGCGCACCGCTCGCCTCCTGGGCGTTTCCTCTCTCAAGCCCCGCCTTCTTTGTCCTTTTCTTTGTGACGTCATCTTTCACACTAACCTGGGATCTCATGGGCATTTATACACCCGGATCGCATACGTATTAACACTATAGCACCCCCTTCCCCCCCTTTTGAACAAATAGACGTCCTCGACTCAACACAACCCGTGAGAATCCAAGGGATTCAGGGTAACTCTGACGGCAGAGAGTATTTGTTGGTTCATAAACAACTTTTGCTGGTCTCAAACTATTTTGATGGAGAACTGTTAATGTGCTGGAGACAAGTACGGGGCCTGATATCACCAATTCGCCTTCACAGATTTTGGTCTCCAACTGTCCCAAAATTCCCTTGCTTCCCCCATTTGCCGCTATGAAGGATGATTGGATAGGTCACAACTACTGGGCCCTGTGGAGAAGCATATCAAAAACGTGCAGGGTTATAATAGTCGCTGACGCTGCTGTATCAACCAGCATCCGGACCTCAATTCCCCCCTCCGAGGCTACTACCACCGACGTTGCGGCCCGCAGCTGCTACTACTCTCCTTGTCAACTTGCGCCATTGTGTATCGGAAGCCGGCCATCGTTGTGATGAAAGATTGCGTGTATAAGATGATGGTTGTGAACGTCGGGAAGTGGTGGGTGTATCGACTGACGGTGCTTATGAGAGGTCTGCGATGGGAACTGCCAAGGTGTTCAGGGTGCCGTGACACGCCTGCTGTTTGTATGCAGGAGTGGAGAATGGCTGTTGTCGCCAAGTCGGCCCCGGTGGGGCAGCATCGGTACGGCACCCGCGGGCGATGTGGCCCGTATGGCGGCATCGGTGACAGGTCACCAGGTTCCTGCTCCGGCTAGGTGCTCTGAGTCCCCGGGGCATCCAGTGATGGTTCCTCTAGGTAGGGCCCCGAAACGTCCCCCTTACAGCCGCCAACATCTTTCCCCCGGGCAGCCCGATGTCTACCTCTGTCTCGGCATCGTCTTCTTTATTCTGTGTTCCCCGAACCCCCTCCAGTCCTTGATGTAGGGGTTCCGCTATTTGCGTGAATAAACGTTGCGGCCTCATCACCTCTTTTTGGGCCCTTATTCTCTTTGCGATCCACAATGAGGTCTACTTGTCCTCTGCCGTGACTGGTAAAAAAACTGTTATTAAAGCCTGCGCTACCGCTAATATACGGTTGGCCAAGGCTTCTGTGTCAAAGCCCGGGAAAGCAGCTTGCACTCGGCCCATGAGAGCGCTCCTGTAGGCCAAGGCTGACTTTCCCCCTCTTCCTACCGACAGTTCTAAAATCGTCTTTTCGCGCTGGATGGTGGGTCAAAAATCTCTGCCATCTCTCGATAAGCAGCTTGCAGGGTCATCTTTTTCTCCGCCGGAACAGAAGAATATATAATTAAAGCATCATCTCTCAAGGCCCTGGGGGAGAGCCTTCAGAGCTTCAGGCTCTGTCCACTCTAGATGCATGTAGGCCGCCTCGAATCGGCAAACAAATGCTCCCCAGTCCTTTAGCTACAAACTTCTCCACGTGGCCCAACCTACGTAGTCGATCAGTGCCCTATCCTCGTCGCCGCTCCGATCCCCCTGATGAGTAATTTTCTGCGCCCTGTGCTGCGGTTGCTGCGCATGCTTCAGACCATTGTCCCAGCGCTTCTCCGTGTGGTTCCCACGCGACACTGCTAGGGCTCGGGGCGACCATTACTGCTCGGCCTGGTGTGTATCACACCAATTCCGCTCTGATAGCGGCCCTCAGTGTCGTTCTGGCCAAATTGAATTCTGCTCTCCCTGGAGGTTGCTCTTCTCCCTGGAGGTTGCTCTTCTCCAACCCTATGTTTTTCTGCCCGCAGGCTCCACTTCAGATACATGCGTTTAGTGTATTTGGCTGTTATACATTTTCACGTAATAAGCCACTTCGTTGGGCAATCATTTGTAGCCAGGTGGTTGTCAGTGGGCTTTACCAGGTAAAATAAAAAGTTTAGACTAAAAAGTGTTCTTCGGAGGCACGAGATGGTGGATGGAGAAGACGTTTGAAACTCTAAAAACAACTGCTTGGTTGTGAGGTCACCGGAAGTTTGTGATACATGACGTCTGTTCATGAACCCGTCTGTGTCGACCTTTGGGTATTATCTCCTCGCATGCGTGGCGAGGTTTTCTGCTACACACAAAACAGTTCTCAGTGGAATTGGCCAACAATCCCGAAGCAGGGTATTCCTGAAAAAGAGTTGCCTCTGTGAGGCTCTCCTGCATGGTAATTACATTACACTCGACTTACGAACTTTGAATATTAACAAACCTGTCCAGTTGCCTGTCCCGACCGAGATTCGTAAGTTCAACCACCGCGCAATAGATGGCATTGGTGGAATCTACATCTGCAGAACATGAAGAACCATTGGCATCTACATATACAGGAGATTATACAACTTTTAAAGCCATTCCCCGTGTTTAGTGTACATGCCATACAACATATTTTTAATCTACAGGAGTAAAGTTGGACTTGCATATAAATCGACTCACGATCAAACATCTGGAACCTAACTTGTTCGTAAGTAGAGGAGTCCCTGTATTTAGACGTATGTATGTTGCACTTCTTTTGCACCGTATGTAGACACTTAGCTCTGTGGCTGTAAACATTTCTCCACACTCTTTCTCCACAGTAGAATTATCTCCCATGTCCTCAGAATGAACCACTCGTCCTGGCTGTATATGCCAGTCCCTCTCATAGGACTGTGGAATTATCTCCATTAGGCTTTGGACTGCCAACGCAAATGAGAACTAAATCCAGTAAAATCTGTGTGCTTGGGTTATGGTCTGATAAACGTAAAGTGTTCAGGAAGAAGAGACAGTGTCCAGGTAAACAAACACTTGTGTCGCCCCTAAAGTTATATTTGTCAGCACCCGTGCCCTGTGAATTGTGTGACGGTGGGGAAGCGGGTAGGTGTGTACATCATTCACGTCAAATGATTCCTAAATTTGGTGTAAACGAGTGCAAAATCCGTTTCAGTGCGCGCACTAATAGTGTTGGTAGTCACATTTGTAAATGAACCCATATTTATATTCTTGGTTATTTCGGTAAAGTCACGTAGAAGGGAAATAATAAAAATAAAACAATAAAATTCTCACGACGTTTAGATTGCAACACAAGCAAGCATCATGAGGTGTGAAAACCACAGCAAGAAAATTGCTGTGGTTTACCGAAAGAACCAAGAATATGAATCCCTGCAGTCACGAAAGCTTTAAATCGGAACCCATATTTGTTGCATTTAAATTCTAACAATGTATGGCAGAGCCAAGTTATATGGCTAAGGCTAATTACGAAAGATTGCTTTGCGTTTGGACAGTGGTGGGGTGTTAATGAGTACAGTATACAGGGAGTCCTCGTTTAATGCGTTAGATGCCTTTCTGAAAATTGCCCCATTAAGCAAAAAACGCGTTAAGAAAACACAATTTCCCCATACATAATGTAACGATAAAGTTGGCCGAGATACGATGCACATGCACACACAGTGAGATTGCGGGAAAAATAACAGAGGGGATGCAGCCGCATTACTGCGTACTAGATCGTGCCGCTCGGCCGCGCAGTTCAAAAAGTAGTTGTCAACCGCTCAGAAACCACGTTATAATGGTGCACGTTCCGTGTTATAGCGGGCACGTTATAATGGTGCACGTTCCGTGTTATAGCGGGCACGTTATAATGGTGCACGTTCCGTGTTATAGCGGGCACGTTATAATGGTGCACGTTCCGTGTTATAGCGGGCGCGTTCCACGTTATAATGGTGCGCGTTCCGTGTTATA